TTTCTCGAGTTATTTTATAATATCTCGAGAATGATAAGGTTTGATTAAAAGTAAAAAAAAAAAAAAAGGCAATTTCATTTGTACATAAATGGATGACAATGGAGGTTGACAACTTCTCACATGCATGCGGGCCCCATGTGATTAAAAAATTTCAAAAAAAAAGTGGGTTCCCTATTGTGAGTGTTCGGTCATCCACATTGTCATCCATTTAGGTACATGTAACATGGTTGTTGACAGATTTGATTAAGATCAGGATCCAATATTTTAATGCAATTTCTTGCATGATAATTGACATCAATTAAATGTCATTTTCGTTGGATTTTTTTTTTTTTTTCCTTTGTTGCAATAACTTCAAACAATATTTCCAATTATCACTTGACAAATCAAAAATAATATACAACTAGAAAACTACTCACTAATGCACGAACGTGTTGCCGTCAAGCCAAGAAGAATTATAATGGTATCAAAACGGGTTGAATAATACTATTTAGCATTACAGTCGGTGTTCTAAAAAGTTAGTTTAGGCGGCTCGAAACTCGGGCAAAATGCCTCGTCGAAGCCTAAGCGCTTTTATTTTAATTGCTAAACGACTGAATTTTTTCCTTCCTCTCTTTCGTCTTTCTTATGCGCTCTTTATTTAAAAAAATTCTTTAAAATCTTTTATTTGACTTTAGTTTATTCGTAAAATTTGAAATTTCGCTTCCACACCTAACCACGTTTTAGACATTTTAGAACACCGACACCGACAACACTAATTGTAATAAATTATAGCTCAATTAAATACAAAAAATTATGAGTAATTTAATATGACATTTATTGATGGTTGTCTCGTTTAAATAACCTTACATTATCCATCTTTATTTGCTAAAAGTTTATGATTCAGGTATTTAATTTGACATTTTAAAAAATCAGGTGCTAAACATTAAAATTGTAAAAATCAGGTTTCTACTTTTTATTAATTAATTAAATATTTAATTGTGTAATTTGATAGCGTATATCTTATTAATTAGTTAAAAATTAATTTCAGGTCACAGTT